ATTAAGAAAACACACCATTTTTGCTGGGAGTACCTGCTGCAGATAGGAGAGTCTGCAGTGACAGAAAACATGACAATAATTTTCTTTCAGGAAGGAAATAGGAAGTCAGACGGGAGAACTGCAGTAACGGCCCTACCCTTGGAAGGCATTTGATTTAAAATACTAAAGCAAGGAGGTGTATGTTCAAGCCACATTTTTCTTTATCAGTCACGTGCAACTGGCTATTGTTTCTGAACGCTGACCAAATTTGAATGCTCACTGCAAAATATGCAGTGCGCTCCACTCCTGGAGAGCAGTCTTCAAGATCCCTAACCAATCGGCTAGACACTATAGTTCCTTCAACCTCCCTCATATCATCCCACAGAATTTACTGTGCCCCACTCTGAGAAGAACTCAGCAAGGTTTAGGATAAAAAGAAGGTAAGTCCTACAGTCACACAGGAGTTGGAGCCACAGAGGCAGAACACACAAAAACAAAAGAGGACCTGCTGCAATAAAACCAACGGAAAACAGATTTACTTTTGGTTTCTGCTGGTTCACTGGGGTGAAGGAAACGTTGGCGAACAATTTGCATAGAGGACATACATTGTGATAAAACCTATCTGAAATCCCCCTTTTCAGCACCTCTTCTGGAACAGACGCCATCCTCCTCAGAGCGCATATGGTCAAGCGGATACCAGATATAAACGAGGGGATGACTTGGGGAGGCTTCACTAACGGAGCTTTTATGAAACCCACTCGCCACGGTCATCCGACCTCTCCGAGGAACGTTAGGAAAGGGGACGGTGCAAGTGCTACCCCCGCTGTGTCCTCTCCTGTGATGCACTGTGTTGCTCGCACAGAAGCGGAAAACGCTGGAGGCAAGACGTGATGGCACACGTGTGATACTGATGGCTGGGTGCACATCAGTCTGTGACAGACTAGGGGAGGCGAGCATATGAACGAGACAGCCTGCATCTTAGAGGTATGAGGACCTCACTGTCTGATCTGGATGCAAGTGGGAGAAAGCAAAACAACAGCGGGAACATTTGAGGAAGTTGGTAAGAAGGCAAAGACAGTACATGCTCAAACTTTCCCTGAAGAGACTGGATCCGTACAGCAACGAATATTAAAAGCTTAGACTTTTGCGGCCCTTACACATTGAGACTGGAAGACTCGATAAACAAGAGAATAGGAAATTATCACCCATGCAAAAGAATTTGATGTAATTAAAGTAATTGATATTAGTGAACACGGTGCAATGATTCACCTGATTTAAATGTTAAAAAAAAAAAGAAAAAACACTGAAAGGACGGAACGAGTAACATCTATGAGGGAGGCACTCCAGCATAAAGCCATGAGCACGGTACGTGTGCTAACAGTTATCAGTAATTTTCAACTTTTGTATCCTAACATAGTAATTAAAATGAGGATTGAAAATGACTGCGGGAAAGTCAGAAGTGAGAAGTTTCTTTAAGAGACATTCTTAGGATGGTTAAGAAGCTGTAATTCCACAGTCAAGGAAGAGAGTAATTTCGACCGACAGACCTTTCCCCTGCTTCACAGCACAAGTGTGAGCAGCAATTAGTAATAAAAAGCGTTATATAATAAATGAAGAGAAAAAGTAGTAACCGATAGGAATTAGGAGTTACAAAGGACAAAAGTTGATAAGACAAGCTAGAAACACCAGGGAAAAGTCCATAGCTGACAGGATCAATATAATTTGAAAAATTAAAAAAAAAAAAATGTATCCAGACTATAGTAATATTCCAATAATATACACCCTTTGCCAGATGGAAACGGTAAAATTTTTAATAGTGATGCAGGAGAGGCAGAAAATTTTAGAAATATTTCTGTTCCATATTTGGAAAGATGTTCTTATGTCACATGATGATGACAAAGTATTTTCCAGTCCCTTAGTAACCAAGCAGGATGTTATACAACAGATACTGGAAATAAACATTTTTATATCAGCCAATCCATCTACCTTACACCTAAGAACTAAGACTAAGAAGGCCTTAGAACTAAAAATGTTTATTTTTAATAAGTTAAGGCATTCCAGAGAAATTCCATTTGACTGGAAAAGTGCTAATGTTGTGCCAATAATAACAAAGGCTAGCAGCATGACTCAGAGCTAATGGGTAGCTAGCCTGACGTTACTTCCAGGTAATAAAATGGTAAAGCCGTTATAAAATTAAATTAATAAAGAATTAAAGTACAAGAACATAATTAGTATCAGTCAACACTTTTATGGTAAATAGATCTTGTAAAATAAACTTATTGGATTGCTTGATTAGACAGAAGTTTGGCTGATAATAGTAATCAAGCTGTGTAATACATTTGCAGAGAGCATTTGACTTAATGCTGCATGACATTCCAATTATGAAAATTAGCACCACGCAGTATCGAAAAAACATTAAATGGATTAAGAGCTGACAGCTCTAACAAAGTAAAAATTAATGGCAAATCATCACTGCGTCATGTTTTAGGGCTTAGCATTTTCTTCTATGATTTGAAAATAAATATAAACATCCATAAATACTTTGATTTGTGGATGGCACAAAGACTAGTAAAATGGTATGTTAGCATAAAAGCTGAAGATAGTCATTCAGAGCAATTTGGATCACTTGATAAGCTGACCCCATTCAAATTAAACATGTCTTAATACCCCCAAACGCATAGGGATTAGGACGACGCGCTACACCAGCAGCCAGATCTCTTCGCCGGAAAACACAGTCTAAAAGGCATGAAGGACCACAGTGCACAAACAGCTGACGTTGTGGCAAAAAGACCAAGTATGATCCTTGTATGTACAGATACCAATGTAGTGAATAGCCAAATAGCCTTACACGACTATATGAACACTGGTGAAACCTACAGTGAAACATCGCACCACGTTCCACGTTTTAGACGGAAGGCTTTGGAAGCAGAGAGAATACAAAAAGCAGACAAAATGATTTGAAGAGAAAATGCCTTACAGTGAGATGTTTAAAGAAAAGACTTAAAGTTCACTTGCTAACATTATTAACTAGCTTGACTTACTACTTCACAGAAAATACTAGCTCCTGCAGGGTTCTTTAGTCTAAAAACAAAGTTCAGGTAGGAAACGAGGCACGTCAACAAATAAGTTATTCGTAACAAACTATTATGGGAATTCTTGATGGCACCTTCGTTTCTTGAGGTCTTCAAGTTTGGATACGTTTCTGAGTGTTGCAGCTGAACAGGTATTTCAGTAATTTCTACAGCTGCTGAATACAAAATATTGGGTTCTATACACGGGTGACTGAGTAATAATGACCGATGATACAGATGTGGGGATAGAGTAAACGTATTTTGCTCTCCCTTCCGACGAGGAAGTGAGCTGACGCCTTGTTACTAACTTTGGAATATTCTATGTTGAGATCTGCCAGAAATCATTAAAGATTATCAGATCCTCAGGCTCACAGTCAGGATGGGTATTCTCTAGAAAGGAAAAGAAAGGGTTTTTTTTTAAAAAAAAAAAAAAAGGAAGAGGGGAGTAAAAGCCTTAAGCCTGATCCAACCGACGTTAATGGGTGATTTGCCATTGATTTGCATGGAGGCAGGATTTGGACCAAGGAGTTCTCATGGAAATTGTTTTATTTTTCTGATTTTTGGGTTCTTAACTCTGCTCACAATTTCTGCTTGACTCTATGCACAGTGTAACAATGACCACATCTTCCGCTTTTCCAGAAATAACCATGTCATAAGCTGCTTCTTCCTTGTTTTATGTATTTATAGACATCAACAAGCCCATATAAAGCCTTTCCATAATTTGTTCATATACAGTAGTTTCCTTCTGATATATTTTTAGATCAATTGCACTTGAACAATACTGTCTCAACCTACTGACCTTTGCTCTTGGACAGACGATCAAGAGAAATGCAAACACGGTACTGTTTAAAGGATGACAGCCAACACTTTGCACAATACTTGTTGAAAGGGCACGCTATTATTCTCTCTAATACAAAAGAGTTTAGCGTGACTCCAAAGCGGTGCGGCACTCACATTCACAACCTCTGCACCTCTCCTTTGAGCTGCCTCTAACGCGAGATAGGTATATATTTATCAATGCGCAGGAAGCTTGAGATGCTAACTCCTGATCCTCCAGCTTTCTAAAATACCGTGTCACTTTGAAGAAAATAGTTTAAGGCCTCTTCGCAAATAATGTTGTCAAAGGGAGATTTGTAAGGAATAAGATGACTCATCAAGGAAAAGCTGTGTCTATGTGCTCCTTTCCTTCTTTGGTACAAGGCACAAAAAAGCTGTCAACGTTTGAAGGGTGTATTTTCCTAAGCCTTGGTGGCTGTGCACCTCCAAGCACACCACCTTAGAATACCAGCAGTGTCACGCCTACCCTTTCCTGAATTCGCCAGTGCAGAGGATATGAACGGGCCCCACTGCTGGGTAACAGCTCTAGTACAGAAGCCTTTCTACCACACTCTGCCGTTCCCTGCAGAAACCACCGGAAAGTACCTGTTACAGAAGCTGCGAGAAGGAAGTGTGGCTAGGCCGGGCTGCGCCTTCGAGGTTCTTCATGGTCGAAAAAGCCTGACTGCTAGAGCAGCCGAGTGGACAAAAGTCACAAAAGGCTCTGGAGACACCAGGACTTTTTACAGTTAAAGTATAAGCCAAATCAGCCCCAACTACAGCATTAGGCATTGTTGCACGAATAGATTTCCCCTCACAAGGGAAGGTGCAAAGTACACTGAAAAATAATCACCACAGTTTTGCAAAAAACAATTTTCAGCTACCTTGTATGCTATGAAAACTGCTCTGTTACGATTCTGGTTTGATCACCAGGCAGTTAATGCGTGTCTGACTATGCACAGCACTTGTGTAGAATGGGAACTTGTTAGCCTCTCCGCACGGGATGAATAGAGCCTTTGTGTGCAAACTTTGTTTTCAAATGCTGATTAGCCACATAATTAACAATCAGAATACTGAGGAGAAAAACACTTGGAACATCTGCAGTTTGCAATGCTTATAATACCTGGTGTGAGAACCCGCTGTGCATTAGAGTGTACACGGGCACATCTCGCTACATCTCAGCGGGGAAAGCAGCAGCAGTTTCACCAAACGCCGGATGATACCCCAGCAGGTAAATAAAAACCCTACAATGTTGCAAAAAAACGTTTTGATGTTCACTGTGCTTTCTGAATGGAAATTATCGAGACCATTTAACAACTATTTGTTTTTCAACACGATACTAAATTACTAAACTTACCTTGAGCTGTGATTTTTAGAAGACGTTCGAAAGCTAAACGTAATTACCCAGGGACAGCCCCTGGCTAGGAAATCCCTGGAGAACTTCTAAGATACTTCTCCAACTGGTAGTAGCGATTCAAACAGATATCCCTCTTCCCTATGACGAGACACGTCTTGTAGCAGGTGAATCCCACCGCAGCTATATCACTACTTGGGCAGATTGTCGACCACACAGGTATTCTGAAAGCAGACTGAAGTGTATATACTTCAGTGCAAGACAGAGTAATGTTATGTTTGCCTTGTAGGAGCCAGATGCGGTAGAACCGATAATATTGCAATTCCCGTTCTGCTGGCAGAAGTAGAGGTACGTGGAGGTGGCATATTCCGCAATAGGTAACTCAAAGGAGACTCCTAGAAACAAATCGGGTACCAAAGAGTAACACTGAGAAAGAAGACAGAAAGAGGCAGCCTTAGAGGTGGAGGGAGGACAGACATGAAATGAAGGGTACGATGGGAAATGATTGACCCACGGACAGGCAGGACAGGCATTAAATGCAGTATGAGAAAAGGCGTGGAAGCCTGAGAAGTGAGGAAGCATATTGCTATATACCACTGAGGACAGCGAGAGCTGGATCAGCACTCAAACTGGCAAAGAGTGCAGGACGAAGGTAAAGGCAAAAGAACGGTGATGAATAGGGTGGGTGCTGCTGATTTGGCAAGAACCTGGAGCTAAGCTGTTGAGTCTTAGTCTGAATCTGACGGAAGATGAAAAAGTAGCACAGGCAGCCTTTTTACAGCTATGTTAAACTTGTATTAGGTGAAATACATTCTGCCTCAGCTGAAATGTACGCCTACTGTGAATGCCTCAAGCTATCACAAATTCTCCTTCAGGAAGCTGCGCAGCCTGTCATAGATACGCTTTGGATCTTAAAAGAAACCACTTTAAGAGGGTCTTGTGCTGTGAAACTCCAGCAACAATCTCAGTAAGAAACGTCTTGAAGTTTCAGCAGGAAAAATGTCCCTTTCCCACTTATTATGTCTACCCTCAAGGACCTTTGCAAACAAAACACAGAGTTGCGCCACACTTCCTCACCATGAATAGCTCCTGTCACGTGGCAGCCATCTCGAACCCAGTGACATGGCTTGCATGAGTTAAGATGACCAAATCCAAACTAGGGACATTGACAGTAAGCTGTTCCTAACCAGTAACCTAAAAATTTTTGCTAGCCTCCAGACTCAGATGTTATGTTCTCTCTTGATTCGTGCTGCCTTTCAGCCTGGATTCGAATGAGTCTGACTTAATCCATCCTTCTGTGCTGTTGACCACTAGTAAGTATTTCGTATCGCTGGTGTTACAGTGTCATGCTTTAAGAAAAATGAACAATGCAGCCTCTGTGACAGCACTGAGTGAACAGCACTTTTAAGGAGAATGTCCCAAATTTCATTACAAAGAGATAAAGCCATCTGGATCCTAAGACAGTCAGCTTAAAAAAAAAGAAACACACATAAAACTATTTTGAAATCAATTTACTAAAAAAATAAAAAAAGAAAAATAAGCTTGCTGCCAACGAACATTGGAGCCCTTGTCATCTATTACCACACGAACAAAGCATTCAGTGACTGACTCCAATACCATTGCCAATTATTATGACAACATACAGTATAATCATATTATGTTTACAATATAATATATGTGAGTATTCAATACAGCCTGGCAGGACTTCAGTCACTGCCTCCTTTATGCTTTAGAAATCAATTTTTCAAACTGAGTTTGTTGTATAACATGCTTCCCTAATTACGTATTTTACTGTATAGTGGACAAGAAATAATACCAAAACTGATTTCAGGCAAACTTCCTAACATTTAGCAATATAAAAACAGCTGTATTCACACACACTGCACTACTACCAGTCTATGGAATGCCTTTATTCTACAAACATGCCCCACCTCATTCCCACAAACATTAGTGGGAAGTTTTTCAGAAATTTCAGCTGAAGCAAAATCCAGGCCAAAACGAGCAGGGCTAGTTTCAAAGGGGTTCTTGCCCTCACCATTGGTTCCATACTTGCAAATAACTGTAAGGGTAAACAGGGGCACTTAAACGTCTGCTTAATTTGTGAAATGACATCAGAAAACAAACTTACCAAATGACTCAGTTTGTATCTGCAAAATCACATGCCAAATACAAGCAGGAGGTTGCCTTGGAAAATTTGAACTAAAAAGGCACATACATGTTCAGACTGTCAATTACCTAGTTACTAAGAGATCCCATTGTTAGCACATACTCAATAGCTCTGCAAGATTTGTGGTCTACCTAGTCTGCAGATAAATCAGGACACAGGGATGTAGGGATACCTAGAATAGCTATGGGCACGCTAGCTTAAGTTCAGCATACCTAAGCAACAGCATACAAATATGATTAAAATGATTCTCAGCCAAGCTGAAGTTCAGAAAGAACACGGTTCATACAGCTCTTCACCTGAGCTAATGAATCTCACTAGAGTCAAGATACTGTCATAAAGCACCAACTTGGATGGATCCACACTGTGTCCCGTTGAGCATCCAGTTTTAGAGATTTAGCTCAGGAGCAGCTAAGAATAAATGAAACCAATTTAAGTTTAAAACTTAAATTTAAGAACAGTAGTATTATCCATAGCTTTCTTTTCTCCAGACGGGATTTCGCACCAGAAGAAGATGGGTAACTCTGCAATAACAGAAACGGAATGAAATTAGATAAAATAAAGTGCACAGTCGTATATACAGGGATAAGAATTCCCATGACAAGTTGGAAATAACAGATTAGGAAAAGAAGAGGGTGTATTAGTCCATCAGAGGATGACTATGAGCCACCACTGTGATGTGCCACATAAAACACCAGGGTATTTTGGATGAGATGTTTCTGGGAAAGATAGAGAAGTATTAATGTCAGGATACAAAATGCTAATCAGAACAAAGGTCATACGAGGTCTTGTCACTCATGTTTAAGAAAAATTAAATCAAAATAGAGCAATTACAGAACAGTCTGTGACGGGAGCTGCCAGACAACACAGTAATAAAAATAAGATAAATGCTAAAGATGTAGATAAAAGGTCTATTATGAAAAAAAAAAAGACAAACATCTGATGAAACTATAAACAAGCTGACAAAATTCACTGCTTTGAATGCTTCCTACAATATCCTCTCCTTAATTAAAATTTAAAATGATTAGCATTATATATTACGTTTGGTTTCTCTAGATGTCAGTTTTTGTATATTAGTCTTTCGAACGTCTCTTTTTTCCATCTTCTGTTCCAGGACTATGGATAGCAACAGCTCTGAAATTTATTTCAACATGAGTCCTCACAAATACAGCTACGCTTCTGTTTTTCCCAAAGCTTTACAGGAAATTTTATCAGAAATGTCAGCTACCAAGGAGAAACAGAAATGACAAAGTTCGATTTCATCATGAAAAGAAAGTCTGTGCAATTATGAAGTCATATTACCAGAATCAGAACTCTTACTGTCATTCTTCAGGCGAGATCACTGAAAAAAACACAGTCTCCTCCACTCACCTCACGGGCTGTTTATATTCAAGGCTGACAGTAAACGTATGGTACTCTTAAAGTCAGAGATAATACTAAGCATTACATAGCACTTTGCTTCTTCAAAGTGCTGTGCAATCTTCACTGATTGATTACTCCTCGCAGCACTCCTGGTAGGTAGTTTAGAGACCTAAGTAAGGCCACAAAATAAATGAGTGAGGATAAGGACACGGCAGTGCCCATCTCCCAGGGAAGGTGCACTGCCCATTAGGCCATGCTGCTCTCCTGGGAAGGGAGCCTAGTAAATTCCAAACTTTATGGGGAAGATGTTCTGTTTAAAAATTTAAAAATGTAAAGCACGCACTGGAGTAGAAAAAAGAAACAGAAATAAAAAAACAACATGAGAAATTCAAGTTAACCCAAGAAACACAAGGCAATGGGGCAGAGTGCACTCTGGAAGTAAAATACAATCGATACAGAGAGGAGGAAATCATATTTAAGAAGGATGTTTTTTCAGTGATTGATTGAAACAAAGATCTGGCTGCAACGTCAGATTGCAACTAGAGGTGATTAATTTGTTCTCTCCCTACTGTATAATGAAAACTAGAAAGCTAAACATTAAGAAATGTCATCTAATGACAAAATATTTTTTTCTCACAATGGTGTAAAAGGGGCAAAATATGGGTCTATAATTGCTACTAGAATCACTCTTCATTGCTTTAGAAGTGGCTTACTCACCCAACAGAGTGCTTACTCACGGTGTTTGGGTACACCTGTGCGCCTGGAGAATGATGTCAGCCTGAAAATTCTCCTGGCTTTTAATGTATATTTGCTCACTTACAATCTTTTCTAGCCCTGGTTAATGTTACTTTAAAATTCACTATTGATATTTTTGGTGACAAATTTCACTCTATTAAATTGTTTCAGGTATTAGGAACATTACATTGTTAAATATAATAATACTAATGTTTTTAAAGTTTATAATGTTACTGATCTAGGCAGAAATTACCACACAGGCAAGTATCCTAAATATTAGGCAAATATTATTTTCATTGCCAAAAACTCTGCCGTGATTTTTTTCAAGTATTATTTTATAAACAAGGACTAACTGGAATCAGGTCAGCACTGTCCCGTATACACAGAGAAGACAGAAATACAGCCGTACTATGCTGCTATGAAAATCAGAATCTTTCACTACAGAACTGGAACATATTTTTTAATAGAAAAGTAGGGAGTTCCCATTCTGCAGCTCAGCAAACTTAGGCCTAATGATCAATAGCTCCAAACTCAAGCTTCATTATTCACAGTTTACAGTACCTTATTCCATGAACAGCCGCAGTAACTCGCTGCCAACACCTTTGCACTACAATACTACCAGAAAGAATTATGAGTGCAAAATCTACCTCAAAGGCTTTAGTGACTAGTTAGGAAGAAGTCCTAGGGTTTGTGTTTCCTCATTCTGCTCTCTCCTTCTCAGATCATTCGGTCTCTTACAGGATCATCTCTGATGGAAATACTTGACTTACGTGACCTCCTCTGCATCCTATACTTACTTTCTGGAACTAATATAGTCAGAGTAATTTAAAAAAAAATCTGTAGACTCATCAAAGTCACATCAGAAACTTATCTGGCCCTCTGTCAGTACAAGAGCAGGAGAAGTACGATTGCCTAGCTTCTTTCCAACTCTTCTCAGATGGGTCAATATGACTCAGTCGCTGCTAGGAATAAGAGTACAGACATTAATGCATACCTGGTCCTTAAACCCTGAGGTCAAATCAAACATTCATTTTTCCTAATGTATTCTCTTTCAGAAACCATTAACTCTGAGAATATAAGACTTATTTCTTTTTTCCCTGGATTTCAGTGAGTTTTAATTCTAGTGTGGTTTTGATCTCAGGATTCACTTAGTTCAGTTTTCCTGAGCTTACTTTTTTTTTTTTTTTTTTTTTTTAAAAGTCCTCTTAACATTTTCCTTCTGAATTTAAACTCTTCTTTCTTTCCAAGGTTTGGATGACATTGTAAAATGAATACTGTTTCTTTAAAGCTGACAGAATAAGAACTTGCAGGCTGTCTTAGATTGCAGACCATTTTATTTCTCATAAGCATGCTATCATTAGCTACCTTTAGGAGAAAGAATTATATTGATTGGTTCAAATCAAACTTGTGACCTGGTGGCAATATTATATGTTTGTTATAAAACATCATCTCCTCATTAATCTTTCATTAGGCAGTGTGATCCGAGAAGCCAGCAGCAGTCACACCACGCTTACTCTCTCTAGTGATGCCACCACAGAGGGCTCCCTTATTGGATCACAGCAATTACTAGCCTTACGATGCAGATTCTGAAAGCCTTATCAAATTTCCTCCTCGGTATGGCAAGCTTACAAATAATCATGTGCTGTTTCTTTGGAGAGGACATCACAGAATTACACGAAAATGCAGTAAGCTCAAGTCATTTGCAATTAAACATGTGACTCTCGATTCTGAGATGATGCATCTTTATCTTCTTTTACAGCATATGAAGCATTTTTCAGAAAGCCTAAATACATAAAAATTAAGGTATGTTAACAAGTTCCAGTTAAAGAACAGAGACAACTGCCAAACCAGCTTTATTCATGGGAGAAAAGAAGCAGAAGCTCCAGTATGCGGATTGAAGGCATCTTGGTGCCACGATTTAAAGGGACAGAATAACAACTGCAAGGGGACAGCAGACAGTACAAGAAAGAAGTATCTGTTACTGATTACTTAACCGTTGCGAGAGGAGAACCCAAGAGGGGAACATCTTGTCTTCAAGTCAGTAACACATTGTAACAAGAGCTGGGGGGAAACTTGGGAATTGTGCAACTCTGAATGCAGGGAACTAATGATTATTTGCATAGAAATAAAAAAAAGGTTAAAGTTTTAGTGGCTCTGAGTCAAGAAGTCTTAATATACCGCCACTTGAGCCTACGCTTTCAGGGATCCCTAAGTCTTACAAATATGAGGGTGTATCTTCTCCAGCCATACAAGCTAACATTAAAATCTGAACACGAGACGCCCCACTAACTTCAGCAACCAATAAAACAAAAGGCCTAGCGAAGAACAAAAAAAACTCTCCATTAAAAGAGGGTTTAAAAATGCACACACTGCAGAATATGTTCTTACTCATGTAGTTTGAAAATGATTCTGGTGAAATCACTGAGTTTTGATCAGGGATATGGAAAAGTGACATACACAATACAGCTTTGACAGAACGTAACCACTTCGCTTTTTCCTAAGGCAAGGTGACGAAGGCCTTCCAAGTCCACAGAAGTCACATCACTTAGAAGGATAATCCAAAGCCACATCTCCAGCAAACCCGCTGGAACAGTCCACTCTTGATATGACTGGGACAGGACAGAGAGCGCCTACCTAGAGTATCAGAAGGACTGACTTCCTTTCCCACATGAAAAAGTTCCTCCCAAAAGACACCTGTAGTAAAATATACTACAGGTAGATTTAGATACTGACGTCAACTTGCAGATCCACTTCACTATGGGTAGTATGAAATGTCAGTGTGACATTTACTACACAAACTCCAGTGGTTCATGATTTGGAATTTGTTCTTAAAATGATAATCTGAGCTCTAGGAAACTGAAGTGCTTTCCTTTTTATTATGCTGTTGGCTTGGGCACTGATTAAGTACTTATCTCCTGTTTTCAACAGGAAACCTCTATCATTGTTCTCACATGTCCCTCCATCGAAGCACACACATCTGAGGAAGCCAAATGACACTACCTTAATTTATATGATAAACTCCACCATATCATGCATAATAAAAATCAGTCCCTAAACTCTTACACTTAGATTGTGATAATAACTGAAAAGAAACATAGATGAGCTGACCCAGATTGCTAGGAGCCACAGATTGCTAGGAGCTGTACAAATCTGGGTATGGCATTTGTTAGAAAAATTAGCCTTCAAATTTCATACTAACCTCAAGATCCTCCCTCAGGAGCTGGTTCCTCAGTGATGAATATACAGACTTAGGAAAGATCATAGTTATACTATACTCTGTTAGTTTACGCTTAACTGTTCTCTGGAGCTACTAGACAAGTTTCAAAGAAGATACGAGGATTTTGAAAAAAGATGCAAGTTCAGTGTAAACACGTCGTTCTTGCGCAGAAACTTAAGAGACCAAAAAGAGAGGAAAAAATATACTAGTACCATCAAGACAAAATTATCATGTGTCTTCAATTGCATATAACAACATATGCACTCATTTTAAAGAAAAGACTGACATTTAAATATTCGTAATAGAAAAATCATGCATTTTTCATAGCCTTCTGGTGTATTTGCATTGCAGAATTAAACAATGCACCACCAATAGGTAAACGCAACAAATACGCTCCAATCCTAATGAAGCGGTTGTCAAGCAGCCTTATTGCCGCAGTGCGGTAGGCAAGACTGTGAGCCAATAGACAGACTTGCAGAACCATGGTCCTGCATGTTGACAAAATGCAAAAATAATATGAATAAGCATAACTACCTAATTAATATTCAAATATTGAATACGAAAACTTCATGAAAACATATGAATGCATGTGAAAACTTTAAAACAATGCACCTGACTCGGAAGCTACCCAGAGCTTACTTCACCCATAACCGAAACGTAGGCATCTGTGGGGCAAAAGGTAACAGCTGTGTAACTGCACAGCAACATTACACAATTGTTTTGTTTGGGCAACATACTCCAACTGAAACTGCAGAAATAATTAGGCAGCTATATAAATATAATTTAAGGATACAGAGGTTAACAACCTTGAAAAGAATCTTTACTGACCCCAAATGGCTTTTCTTTCCAAAAGGCACCTCTGTATGGCAGCGTTCCATTACATCTGCCTAAAGGTAAGAATCCCTAATACAGAATTTTTAAGACCAAATCCTAGAACAAAAACATGTTCAGTGAATGCTTCTCAAAGTTTTTACCCAAGCTAATGGCCCTAACTCACAAAACTTCAAAAAAAAAAAAAAAAAAAATCAAAGCACAGTGACATAAATGGAGTGAGCCAGGTCTGTTAATTATATGCCCCATGAACATATTTTAAGTGTGAGGCTGCTAGGCTGTCATTTGTTCTTTTTAATTCCTGCAAAGCTACATGTTGAGGAATAACTGCGCTTTTAACTTGCTGTAAATTTTCCACCAATGCTCTGTGTACTATTACCATACAGTGAAATGCTGAAACAGGAAGGAATTACATAACGCCCTAACTTTCAAACTCCGTATTATTAATAAGCCATCGTTGGCAGTAGTGGGTGTGGGAAATACAAACTGATTACATTTAGAAGAACAAGAAAGGTAGATTTTTATTTTCCATCTTAGCCAGCCTTAAAATTCCTTGCTCAAACTGCTGAAGATTAACAACAGACTATGGGTGTCCTCATGATCGCCATCACACAAACTTTCTATAATGAAGCCAGAGACAGTTTACATTTTTCAACAATGCTATTCGTTTCACTCAAGCAATCAAAACCAGATCATTCACAATAATAAACAGTAATGTGACATATGAAAATATAAAAGAAATGACATAATTACATCCTTTGACTGAAGTAACTGACTGTTACTGGTAAACCAGTCCACATAAAGCCATCTGTGCTAGAAACGGAAAATAATTTTCTTTAGGGCTGGAATAGCAGAATGCTGATTCACAAGGTAGACAGCTCCCTAGTTTTTTAACTAAACAATCAGAAGCTAGATTCATTTCAAAGAGTCCTCACAATGCTTTTCTAATGGCACTAGTTCGCAGTACATTGGCAAAATTAAACCCTGTACAGGGAGCAATGTGGAGACCGGTTCCAAGTGTCTTATTGCAAGATATCACAAGACGGCACGGGTGGAATACTTCCTCAGTTTCGGACATGTGAAGCAGTGCATGTTGATCTTCAGATCTGCAAACGTCCAGTACAGCAAGGCCTTGAAAGTAAAGAAACAATAGCTACATTTTTATGAAATAAAAAGAGCTTCATATCTCCTTGCTTCCCTCAGGCTTTTGTCTGCTTGCCTGGAAAACTGGAACAAAACAGAGCGGCTCACCCGGTTCTCAACAAAAAGATTGTACAATTCTGTTCATTCTAAGAAAACACTTTGTATTTGAAACCTCATGTTTTCTGACGACAAAAATCTCTGCCAAAATCCTAATTTCATCAGCCCCAAATTCTTCTTTTTCCCCAACCGTACTTTTGCTTGCCTTTCATTCTTCCTCCTCCGCAAGCCACAACACTTTATTTTTGTTCTAAGCCAGGGCTCCTGATTTTCCTCTCTTTACCACCTAGAAACACTCCAGTGGAACTAAGATATGTGAAATAAAAATCAAACAAAATTAACAAAAATCAGATTTTTCATATATCATCACAATCGGAAGCAACTTTCAAAACAATACCAAGAACATACCTTGAAGTGTTGGAACAAACAGGATGGCTTCATTAAAAAGTAAGGCACTGCAGTCAGAGGAATGTTAATATCTTGAGTGTTAGACTTCACTTTGCTCAGCCAGTATCACTGGTATCATTCTATTGAATTAATAAATACGGCTGAATAGATTTCCTGAATTTTGTCAGAGGCCTGGCAGCAAGCTCTTTGCAATATGGAAATCTGTTGGTAAGCTCTGTAATGACAACCTTCCTGCTATACACTCTGTTCAGAGCACAACAAAAAGTGCAAGAAAAATGCCAGATATAGACTTAGAGGAAAATCTGAATCTATGCTAATATAAGGACAATAACTCCTTGCATAAAGGATACTGTAATTTGTTTCTTATCTGAGAGATGAACTTAACCTCTCATACTATCTTAATAAAGTTCTTATATTTGACTCTGCAGAACGCTATCCGCAGACTTTGATCTCGCAATCTTCGTGCACTTCAGAGCACAATTCTGGTTTTGAGCTCCTTTCATAAAAATTCAAACTCTCACAGGCTCAAAACAGAAATGAAGCAGGGAGGGAAAATGAACCTGCCTGAGAAGACTACCATTCAGGTGCAGTTCTCACCAGGTTGATCAGAATTTGGGTCCCAAGCATTATCTATCCTGGTCATTGTTTTTGGTCTTATATATAGGTGATGCAGTATCTAAGCACCGTGCAGGATTAAATCCTTAAAGCCTGATAACAGCAAGCACTTAAGCAGATAAGCCCAATGAAGTAAGTAACTAAATGCGAGATGTGACTTCAGCGAAGAAAGCCACGCTACGTAAACTTTAGCAAAGGTTTCTACAGTTAAATTCCAAATATATAGTATTTTAAGAGAAAAGGAAATAACCCAGATAAAGCAAAATAATGGGGGAAAAACGGTTAAGTTAGGTAAATCCGGTTATAAGAACCTATTTAGCGCATTCACCTATGAAAAACTTAAAACATTTCTGTAGAGAGCAGGGGCAGCTTTAAACACTAGTAACAGAGTAAGGCCTGGTTTAAAATAATACACATGCTGCATCTTACCTAGCGAAGTACTTTGCTGCGGCGAGAGTTACTGGGGATAAAGGAACCTGATTAATTCACAGTTGGATAATTTTTCCACAGACAAGTTAGAGCTGAACAGAGGAAATAACTCACCGGGACTAAAGGATGATAGAACAGATGTTTGGACTGTAGACTTCAACGTTCATCTATAATCTGAACTGTTTAGTTTAGAACACACGGCATACGAATGATTGGTAGCGAGAGGAAATATTCTGAAGAAGTTTACAAAATCTACTACGTATCTTATTCCAAAATCAGACTTTCTGCTTTATGAAACAAAACAAATTAACTTCACAAGGTTTCATGCCAAAAACCCAACCAAAAACATTCACAACACCAACTCCAAATAATTACATTTCGACTGGTCTTGCTGCAAAATCATGAGATTTTATTAACTTTGTAGTATTTCAACATCAGAAATGCCTGC